TCCATTAGTTTTTTGCTGCCTCTCAACTTACCTCTATGTACTAAGAACGCAGCTGCGGACGCTGCTCACCACGCCCAGATCCCCCTTTCATGCTTGAGAGCCCCGCTATTCCCCAGTTACTGAGAGTGTCGAGGTCAAGGGCTTACTCCAGTGACTTGTGTAACGTTCAGGGGTAAAGTTCATTTCCCCTGGAGCCACCTTAGCAAGTGGGGGGACTGAGAGGTAGGAAGAAGGAGGTAGAAATCCTGGCATTCTTGCCTTGAGGCCAGACAGCTTTGGAGAAATTCACACACTATTCTAGACTTCTAGGCTTGAATTTTTTTCTCAGAATAGATTCTTACTCAGTTCTTTCTTTTTGGGATCCCACTTCCTTTTCTCACTTACAGCTTCCTTCCTGGAGCCCTCCTGCAATACATCCCATATCCCTGCCTCAGGCTCTTCTTCTAAGGACTCTCTCTGTCTTAAGACAACGCCCATTCATTTGTATCTTCTCATTGATAAACTCCAGATACCCCCTGTGGTTGAACTCCAATTCTGCTTCCTCTAAATCTCCAGTCAAAGTTATTAACAGCCAAAGCCTGGCTGAGGAACAAGGTAAAGAGGAAAGAGAAGCCAGAGCAGTAACCAAGGGTGATCGCTGGTTAAGAAGGCCTTCAGTGCTTGAGATAAGCCTGTGCTGACCCTAGAATGAACCCACCCTAATAGCACAGGCCTATCCTACAGCCCTTAGCTGTGCCTTCAAATTGACTTTATAAATAAATACTGTCCTCTGGGGTTGGGTGAATCCACCCACTAGATCCTCTCCCCACACAGGGTAACATGCTCCCCATGAAGGGCTTGGGGTAGGGGTGTGGCTCCCCAAATTCTTTCAAGGTGCCAGTTTACAGATGCTGAATAAGTGAGCTGACTACATGAAGGGGGTGACAGACATGAAAAACAGTAACATCTCCCCCAAACATTTGCAGCAAGTGAAACATGTTTACAAACATATTTTATCCTCATCATAAACTGGCCGGCAGAGGTCTGGGTGTGCTGGAGCTGGTTGTTGAACATTTAGGAACTTTTTGTAAGGCTGTTGTCAAACCAACATTGGACATGGTGGGGATATTTACACCTTGAAGATCCACAAAGACTACAAATTAGGGCTTTACTTTTACAAACAGATTTATCAGTAAATCACTCGCAGTAGGTATTTTCAAATATGTTCTCGAATGGGTAGAGAGGGGTCACTTTAGATATGGAGCCACTGAGTTTCAGGGAGAAGGATGGAGAACCCTAAGGTCCCTCAGCCTTGTCACAGAGAAATGTTGACTCCAGATGCATTTACTTGTCTCAGTGGGTATTTTGAGGATGCCAACTGTGTTCCAGGAACTTTCTTCCATGGAAAAAATGTGGTTGGAAAATTAGTGACTGGGTAAGGCTGAGCACCTCCCACAGGAGGTGACCTAAAAGGGCAATGCTGGTGCTTTTTCAAAGGTCCTGAACCTGCACCGGCCCCAGAACCAGCACCTGACACATGACTACCTGTGGAGTGTGAGAAGGATCATGTGGCCAGCATCGTGTGCAGGGAGGGCCAGGGTGTACTCCTGCCAGGGCCCCTCTGCAGATCATTCATTTCCGGCAGGAACAGGAGCCAAATCTGGATCTCAGTGCACCCCCAGGGTGTTCTGGCAGGGCTGGTTCCTGCACACCTCGCACACCTTTGGATATCACTGGCATCACACTGTGAATGAAGAGCCAGAGGCTCCAAATGGGAACCACAAGCACACAGCATCCCATGAGTCCTTTAAGGGCTGGACTGAACCCACCCCTCACCCCAATTTGGTAATAGGGTCCTTGAAGATTTAATGAAATTAGGATGAAGTACAATGGAGTAGGATGAGACCCTAACCCAGTAGGACCAGTATCCTTATAAAGGGGAGATTTGGACACAGAATATTCCACGTCAGGATAAAGGCAGAGACTGGGACACTGCATCTGCAAGCCAAGAAATAGCACAGATTGCCAGAAAAACCATTCTCCCTCCCAGCCCTCTGGAAGAACCACCACACTGATGTCTTGGATCTCAGACATCCAGCCCCAGAACAGTGACACAAGCCATTTTGCTCTTTCAGTCACTAGCCTGGGGCACTGCAGTACATACAGCAGCCACAGACCATGAATAAAGGTTCTTTGCTTTGTCTACCTACCACGTACGAGAGCTTGGGGACTAAGCACGCTGATACAGATGAACAGGGGTTCAAGTCCCACCTGCTGGAGCCAGAAGTGGTACCCAGAAGGGATGCACTGGACGTGGGGTCAGGCTGGACCTGAATGTGTGAGCGTGCGGGCTGACTGCGAGTGGTAGCTTCTGTCTCTGCAGGGTGCACACAGCTGACCGCAGGCACTGTCTGCAGTCACCAAGGACAGGACAGGCCATCAGCAAGTTGCTTTGTCACCAAAGCACTGGCCCTTACTCCGCACGTGTGGTGGCTCTTCAGGGGCTGTATGCCCGCTGGCAGATGCATGAGGAAGTGGTGCCCAGGAGGGAGGTGGAGGAACTTGGAGATAGATGGATGGTGCATGGACTCTGCTGCTGGGGCACATATGTCAGATAGTGCCTGAGGGATTCCTAGCCTCCTGCCTTTCTGTGTTACAAGGAATAGCATGTTTGGTAAACCTGGAAAGAGGGAAATTGGATTCAGGAAAGATGGGAAGGGTCCACTATTGATTCTTGACCTTAGAACTGGATACGAAGTCCTGACGGGCAGCACATGGATTTAACGGGGTTTGCTTTTACCTCACCCTGGAGACTCTAAGGGTAACATCTGGTTCAGATAGATTCTAACCAAACACAGGTTTCCTCTCCTCGGCCTTTTCTGTGCACTCACCTGAGGTCCTCCCGGCAGGTGTCTGCTGAGAGGGGAAGACTCCCTGGCCTGCAGGAGACCAGCACTCTGCAGCCCCCAGTTCTCTGCCTGTCCTCAAGTGCCGCTCTGCTCCCCTGGGCTGAGGCAATGGCCCTTTTTGAACTGGAAGATGAGGGTGTGGGTGCATGGGGTCTGACTCTGAGCCCTGCCTGGGCCTAACCAGCTGAACACTGATATTCAGTGATGGGTGCCTGTCACACTGCCCATGGGCACACACTCCACTAAAGGAAGATGTACCTAAAGGTCCACAGATAAGAAATTCCCATGCTAAGAAGACATAGACAGCTCTTCCATTCTAGTTCAACTCTGGAGAGTGTGGCACAGTGGGTGGGCTTCCGTGTGCCTGAGGATGGTGGCCCCTGAAATGGCCAGGGGAGTATAGTTTCAAATATTCTCTCTTGAAGTTCCCATGACCTATCACCTGTCCCATTCCTCAAATGTCCCATTACATGTTCCCAATTCTCAGTTCAGAAAGAATGATCCAACAGACTACCCTTTGGGGGGATTCTAAGACACCCAAGGAGGTGTTCCTAGAATTGACATACCCACAGAGGGCACAGCAGTCTCGTCAAGCCCTCCCTTGTCTGGCAGTGAAGGCTAGAGGGGAGTCCTGAGCACTGTCACAGGAGGGAGCACTCTCTGCAAGCTTCTACTTTCTCTAATCGTTTCCTTCCCTGCCCGCTTGACATCGGATGCTGCCGACACCCTGCCGTCGCTCTTGCTGTCGAGAGCTTGAGTGCTATCCAATTGATGGTGTTCTTCCTTCTAGATTATCTGTTTTCTTCAGTGGGAAAGTCTGCCAAGCCCTGTGATTTGTGTCACTTTTGCTTGCAGGCCATCCATTCTGCCTTCCTCACAAAGTGTATTTTATCTCTTTCTGTCCAGTAGTCTGAGTTCCTGAGCGGGAGCAAGTTAGGGACATGCCCACCTCTCATGACTTATGTGAAGTGGGAGTGAGTCTTATCTGAGTGAGTCTAGTGCTTCTGTCTTCTCCATCCTCCTGGGTCTTTCCTTTTCTGTCTACATATTGATCTGATTTTCTTTAAAGTTGTAAAAGCCGTGCGTGATAGGTCTTAGTGGAGATAGTCTTCTCCCTCCCTCCTTCCCTCTCTACCTCTCGCTTCCCCTTCCCCCACATGTGTGCGCTTCCTCTGCATGTGTGCACATGCCTGGATATATTTACACACACACATATACAAACCTGGGTCATCATTTGTGTCCATGGTTTGCATCTATGATTATATGTCTACTTATTGTTGTAAATGTCATCTCTGTGGAAGCAACCCATGATCCTAGATATGCTGTCAATAAATGCAGGCAACAGAATACAACTGTCCAATTTTGGTGTGTTTATATGGGGAGGATAGCTGTTAAAAATATCAATTCTATAACAAAAAGATAAACCTGATTTCTGGCCATTCAACCTTGTAATAGGTTAAATGATAACAAACCATTCATTGATTTTTTTTAAAAGAGTAATAAACAGAAACATGTACCAATTGAAAGAGCCAGGCAATTCAATTATAATTAGGAAAACAAAAAGTGATGAGCCTGAACAATGCTGCCTTAGTTTGGGGGATAAGTGTTGAAAATGCCAACTACATAATAATGGAGTGTTTGCTTTTTCATTATGAGAGACACAAACACTAATCACCTTATTTTTGAAAGCTATGTAGCAATTGAGTAAAGCATAAAACCCAGAAGACAGGGCTAGCAGACATGCTTTTAAGAAAGACCCATGTATAGACCCAAATATGGTGACCATATATAGCAGAAGAATATTTGAATAAATTTATATTCACGACTCCACTGATTAATGTACCAGTTAATCCATCCATCATCCATCCTCTATCCATCATCCATCCATCCATCCATCATCCATCCATATACATCCAATAAATATGATTTGAACTCGTTATATACTTATATCCTAAGTATATATTAATACCTAGATGCAAATCACTCCAGTGGAAAAAAAACAATTCTTGTTATTTTTAGTCATTATTTCCTAACTCTCCCTGTGTAGCTAGAGGAAGAAATACTTAAACAGCTGAAGAATAACTGAAGACAGACAAGGATATGCCAACATACCTTTTGTTGCCAGACGAACGCAGTTGATTTTGGTCTCCTGTGAACAACAAAAATGAGACTCCAGTTAATTAGTGGTGGGTTTGGATTGTTATATAAAGAAGAAATATATACTTGCATATCCATGCCTGCATATGTATTTTAAATTATAATTTTAAATGTGTCCTTTCCATTCCCCCCCCCCCCCCACTGGAATCACCTTTTAATTCTTGCTCTTCATTTCTCTACAGGCTAGTATTTATTTCTGCCTTTTGTTTTCTGGCTCATAAGCCTCTTTCCCAGATAGAACCATGTTGTAAACATATAAGATACGGCCCAGAACAAAACAGATTCAACAATCACACTTAGTGGCACGCTAGGGCATGCACTGTATTTCATTCAGTCACTTGGGTTAGTAGATGTTACCAGCCCATCTACAGGAACCTGTTATGGGAAATGATGTGTCTGCCTTCACAGGCTAAAACAGATCTCGGCCTTGCCCACATGAGTGGTAAGAATCAAACTGCTACTTTTTTTTTTTAATTTTAAAGATTTATTTATTTATTTATACAAGCACTGGGTACAGTCAGAAGCGCGGGAGGGTGAGAGAATTCACCAGAGCCAGAGCGGGGAGTAGAGCAGGCAGAAGGACCAAAGTACACTGCTGAGGGGAGCAGCGGGCGGCAGGAGAGGTCTGCGCGCCATGTGGGACCCTCCTCCGGTGGCCGGGGAGCAGCCGGGGATCGAACCGGCACCGCAGAGGCTGCAGGCAGCTTCGCAACCCAGCGCTCAACCGCTGCGCCACCGGGGAGGCCCCCAAACTGCCACTTTCTCTGGTAGACCTCACAGATTCCATGCATATGTGTGTGTGTGTGTGTGTGTGTGTGTGTGTAAGGACGAACTCTTGTCATTTGCAACCACAGGGATAGAACTGGAGGGGATGATATGATGCTAAGTGAAATGAATCAAAAGGAGAAAGACAGATACTGGCTGGTTTCATTTATATGTGGAATATAGGGAAAAAATACCAAGGGCTAGACAAAGCCAGACCAGTAACCAGTCCTTGCAATCTCACTGTGGAATTGAGTCTACAAAACGGGAGAGGGGGAGGGGAAGCAGACTGGGCAGGATGGCCTGTGCTGGAGGATTACTGGTGCTCTGGTGGTGGGTGTGCTGACATGCATCTGAGAAGGTATATGAGCCTGTGCCTCTGAATCACATACTGTCTTGGAAACCAATGTTACTTTGGAGAGCACATACACAGGTTGGGTTGACGTGACTTCTTTGGAACAATTGTTACCTTTTCTTTCTTTTTTAATGCTGAAAGTTCTCCTTTTTTTAAAAAAAATACTTTTTAAAATTGTATAAGATGGGAAATGCAGCAATGTTAAAATCATATAACATTATGGTACAAATATATGACATATTCACTTGAAGTTTCATATGAAATTTGAAAGATACTCTATTTTTAAAATATCAGAAGAAATTTTAAAAGAGAAGGGGAAAACCATCAGCAATTATTAGGAAATTAATCTATTAAATTATGACATAAAGAATATATGACAGAGTTGAGACCAAACCTATCAGTTATATCCATATATGTGGATGGGTTTGACTCCTATAATTAAATTGATTTCAAATTGTCTCATATAGCAAAGCCCAGCTATTTGTTATATATAAAGGTCACACCTAGAACAAAGTAATGCAGAAAGGCAACAATAAAGGAATGGCAGAAACTATAAATAGCAAATGAAAAAAATTAAAAAAAAAAATCAAACCAGTAGCAATGATCCTGATAGCAAAGAGCAGAGTAGAACGCAATTTAAAAGGCATTAAAAATAACAACAGACACCTTTTAATGCATGAATTCACAATAATGATAAGTAGGTATAAATAACTATGTACCAAAACCCCACAATAATCATCTTTATGAAGTAGAAGCTACAGGAGCCACAAGAGTAATAGAGTAATGTCGGTTTAAGACAGATCAAATGCAGAAAATAAGCAAGTATATAGGAGAGCTAAAATAATTAGGCAGATATTGTGAATATGTATCAAACCCTATAGCCTAATAATAGGGAGAAAAGGTTTCTTCTTATGAGTTTATAAAGCATTTACAAAAATTGATCATATATTACCTAATTAAGAAAGCATCAGTATATTCCATAAAGTAGAAATATTGCAAGCAGCATTCCACCATTACAATGTAATAAAATGAGAAATTAAGACTATTTAAAAAACCAAACCATTCCTTCCACTTGGAAATTTACAAAATAATCATTTTGATCAACTCCTGGGTGAAAGGGGATATTACAAGCAAAATTTTGAATACTCTTTAACAAAGTATACTGAAAAATCTACAAAACAAAGCAGTGAGTAGATGAAAGTATATCAGGAAAATAAAAGAATTAAAAGTGGACTAAATCTAGAAAAGAAACAAAAAGTTAAAAAAACCCACATAGCAATAATAAAGACAAACACAAAAACTATTGAAGTAGAGATGATAATAGTAGCAGAAAAAGCCACATTGTTATTTTTGTAGAATAAATTTGCTTTTGCATGTATAACACTATTAAACATATGACAAAATTCAACACCCTAAGAAAAAGAAAATGCTGTCAGCAAGTGGAATGTATTCCAGAAAACATGGTTTGATGTCAGGAAATCCATTCATATTACAGTCCATGTCAATAGACCATACAGAAAAAAACACTGGACACAATTCAACACCCATTCCTGATTTTTTAAAATATTCAAGAAAATAAAAACTGATTAAGACTTTTATGATACAAATATTTATCTTAGTCATAAAACCATATTCTTACTTAAAAGGAACTGAGTAGAGGCAGTCCCATTAAGATCAAAAACAAGAATAGGATGCCCTTGGTCTCCACTACTCCTTTAAATTTACTAGAAGACAGTGCAAAGAAATCAAGTAGAGGTGACTTTAAGCTTGCAGACATCTTTGCTTGCAGACATCCCTGAAAATCACTAGAAAATTACTAATAAAATAATAGAATATAAAATTAGCACACAAAGCTAATGGTATCCCTATATACGACCAATAATCCGTCAGAGGACATCATGGCCCCTAGTCCCATTTACAGTGGAAAAAAAGATTAAATACTTGGTAATAAACTTGGCAGGAAGTGCAAAACCTCCTGCAAGACACAAACGTAGACCTGAACAAACAGAAAGCTACACTCTGTTCTGAGATAGGATAATTCAACATCTTAAAGGTGTCAGCTTACCCTAATTAACATATGAATTTAATGCAATTCCAGTAAAATTACTAATAAGTTTTTTTTTTTATAGAGCTGGACAAGTTGACACTAAAGCTTCTATTAAAAAATGAACATGTAAGAAGAACTAGGAAATCATTGAAAGAGAAAATCTAAGCAATGGGAATTGGTCTATCAGATATTAAAGCATAGAGCCTCTCTAATTATAAGAGTGTAGTATCAGTGCACACCCAGGCAACAGGCCAGTAGAAGAGCAAGTAAAAATCCAGGAAAAGACTCAAGCACATGTGAAAATTTAAAATATGAGAAAAGTGGCCTCTCAAGTTGATGCAAAGATGGACCTTTCCATAAATGTCAGGACTACTAAGAAAATAATGGGAGGAAAATAAAATCATTTGCATACTTTATGCCATACACACAAATAAACACCAAATATCAGAAATTCAAATGCAAAAAATTAAACTATGCAAGTATTAAAAGCAAATGAGGGTGAATTCAAGAGAGGTCTGTGTAAGAAGGGACCGTTCTTACAAGTGGAATGTATTCCAGAAAACAACAGAAGAACAAAAATGATGCCTTTGACTACTTTTTTCTTTTTTTGGTGTGGCAAACGTACTATAAGCAAAGTCAAAGGATACATAAATAAATTGCATCATTTATCACAGATAAAGAGTTAATAACCCTGATAAATAGCTCTTAAAATTGAAAGATAAAACCATGATAGACACTTGTTGAGAGACACAAAGAGGTAATTGAAAAATTATATGAAAATGTTTCCTAAGTATATGAATAGAAGTTGACATCACTTATACTAAGAGAAAGAAAATAAAACTACACTGAGATAAAACTTCTTATGTGTAACTTTGAGAACAATTAAAATTAGATCACATAAACTCTTGGTCAAACTGTGGAAAAATGATCTGCAGCATCTCTCCACAATATGTCAGCAGCGATGGAGACAAGAATCATCATCAAATGCTAAAACTAAGGGGTGGAAGTTTAATGGAGAGCAGGATGCTTACATAGCCTAGAAATTTATCCTAACAAAAATACATATACATTAAAAAGAAATAATGACTTTACAGTGGAAAAAACCTTGGTGACCAAAGTCAACCTCACGAGTAACAGGACACAAGGACATCAGTGCCTCCTGATCTGATATACTGAGAAAACTCAGCATCCTTTTTCTAACAGTCCTGCCCAAAAGTCACAACCCAGTCATAAGTAAACCTCAGAGAAATCCAACATGAAGGACAGTCTACAAAACAACAGACCTGTAAGAGTCAAGTTATAGGAGCCAAAGGAAGATGGATATACAAGGAATCTAGAGACATGAAAATGACTGTAACATGTGATCCTGAGCCAGGCTGTAAAAAACAATGTAAAGGACAAAACTGAGACACCTGGAAACATTGAGGCTAACAATGTTATATCAATGTTGATTTTCTGTAATTGTATTATATCAACTGTATTGAAAGTACACATTGACATGTTTAGGTATAGAGGGGTGATAGATCAACCAATCAATAAGTAGATTGAATGTTAAGACAAACAGAGAGGGAGAGTATAGGGGAAAGAAAATTAAACGTGGTGAACTGTAAGCAATTAGGGAACCAGGATGGATGGCTTATGAAAACTCTTTACACTATCCTTGACACTTCTCTGTAAGTTTGTATCATCTCAAAATAAAGAATTATAAATATTTGGAGGGGCAAAGAGCATGAGTTGGGTAGAGGGCACAGAAGACTGGCCATGGGTGGATCACTGTTGAAGCTAAGAGTTGGGTCAAACAAAATTTTAAGTGTGAAGATGCCTGCAA